TTCCATTCATATGTAGTAGAGGGCCACAAGTTTATTAGTTTTTAACTATTAAGTGCTACTCTCTTTAACTAAAGACTACTACTACTACTCCCAGCTACGTTAACTTGATTCCAGTTTGAATTTTATTACGCCTACATACAAGACAAAGACTGAAGGAGGAAGCTCGTTTGTAGTGTCTGCAATACAGGACTGGAACAATTTAAATTGTGAAATATGGAAGCAACCGAGTGTAAAATGTTTTAAGCGCGCCTTGAGAAAGCAATTTCTACAAGATCAAGCTCACTTGCATTACTTTTATCCATAATTTTTATTGAACTTTATCGTGTATCTAATAAACTCTGCGTATCTTAATTTTGGACTTGAAATGACCTATCAAGCATTAAACCTCGTATGTCAAAACAAACGGCTCAACCATTTCAAAGCATGCTCATTTTGAATATTCACAACAAATGGGTTTCCAAACGAGGCATTTTAGGATTGCATCTACTCAAAGGAAAAACTGTTGCACGGAGATCTTCAAAATATAGCTAGCTTTGGCTCTTTATTTAGCAACGTTCACCTTACAAAGCCTCTCTAACACCATCCTTTTTAAATAATTAATCGCTCCTTAACAATTATTCGCTGTAGGCGATGTGATTATTTAGTAATATTTATATCACTTTCGGCATAATTGTTCAGGTGATTATCAGAGCTTTTAAACATTAATTTTATTTCATTCTTTTGCTTCCGTACATCGCTGATAATCTTTTGCTAAAAAGGAACTAAATACTACACTGGCTCATCGGCCATATTTGGATAGCCGTCGGCAGAAATACCACACCACTGTATTAGATTCGCTAGCAAACCCTCATCCACGACTTGTCACTGTCTCTTACTAGATCCAAGGTTAATCTGTGCTGACAACACATTGATCTCGCAAAATGGTAACTCGTAGGGAAATCCAGCAAAAGGTACGGAACATCCAAAACATCACTCAAAGCTGAGAGGACTTCGCTAATTAAAGGGTCTCAGTGGGTTAACCGTTAACCGTAAAACTGTCAAAAAAAATGAGCCATTAGGCGTAAAAATTGACAAATTTTA